TCGAGCACGAAACCGATGGTGCCGCTGGATAGGCCGGACAGGATGGCGGTTAGGGTCAGGGTGAAGGTGCTGATGGCCGAGAGGAGGTCGAAGCGGAACTGTAGCCAGGTTTGGAGGCACCAGTACATGTGGTCCATCTTTTGGAAGGCGTCGCAGCTGGTGATGATGCGGTTTTGGAAATGGGGCTCGGAGCGGAACGCGCGCACCGTGGTTAGTCCTTCGACGAGGGTGCCGAAGTTGGAGAACAGCGGTGACAATGACACGGTCTCGAGGCGGCGTAGAGACTGTGAAGCCGGCAGGAAGCGGTCAAAGATGAAGACGAAGAGGGCCGTCATGGCGATGCTGATGACCAAAAAGGTGGGCGTTGTTGTGGAGATCACGGCCATCGAGGTGAGCCAGCCGAGCGAGTACCATGCTACTGACATCAGTTGCCCTGCGATCTGTCCGTCGATGGTGCCCATGTCCGACGTCAGGCGGTTCATCAGCCGACCAACCGGTGTCACGTCGTAGAACCCCGGAAGGTGGCGTTGGTTACTCGGTGCATGGCTCTCTCGAAGAGGTTCTTGCCGGCTTTGTAGATGATGACCACAAGCGCCGCATCTGACATAGTTTGAGTGAACACCTGGATCATAGACAGGATGAAGAAACCCGAAGAGCCACGGCTGGACGTTCTCGCTGGGTGGAGGTAGGTAACCCCCTAGGTCGAACCAGCCGGGATCTGCCACGCTCTGCCGTTGGAGAATGCGCTGTGAGGCAGCCACAGACGGTGCATACTCCAGCCCATAGCCCAGACCACCGGGAGGGGGCACCTCCGGTGTGCCCGGGTACTGCTCGCCCCATTCCTTGAGGAACCAGAAGTACCCGATCTTGGCGATGCGGAACAGGGTGAAGAAACCAACCATGGTGACCCACCACCGAAGCTTCCCAGCCTTGACATACTGCCAGTAAACAGAAGCCAAGACGCCTCCATGGACACGGTGCTCGTCTTCGATGAACTTGTCCGGGATGGGCTCATCCTCTTCCACTGCTGCCGTGGTCTCACCCCCCGAAGCGGCGGCATCGGCGATCTCGGCCAGGTGCTCGAGCTCCTCCTCGTTGTTCTCCAGGTCCTTCTTGTCAAAGCTCTCCACGCGGCCTCCCTTGTCAACCTCGATGATCTGGTAGGCGTAGGGCGTGACGATATCCACACGGTGCGTGACAAAAATGACCAGCCGACCGGCCATCAGGGGCGAGTTCTTGGCGCCAAAGAGATTCTTCAGGATAGCGGTAGCCGTATGGTGATCCACCAGGCCGCGATGGGGTCGTCGAGCAGCAAGATGCGGGCCTGACATATACACTGCTCTGGCAAGCGCCACACGAGCTCTCTGACCGCCGGACAGTCCAACACCATTCTCCCCAATCAACGTAAGATCCTTGCACCGGAACATGTTGAGGTCGTCGCGCAAGCAGCAGGCATCGATGACCTGCTCGAACCGAGCCTTGTCGTAGACAGCCGAGAAGAGAATGTTTTGCCGGATGCTCATGCTTTCCAGCCAGGGCGTCTGGGCGCAGTACCCAATCGTCTCGGCCGGCACGATGCGGTCGCCCCTCCGCTGGTCCAGCTCACCCAAGATGGCCTGCAGTAGTGCCGTCTTGCCGATACCCACCTTACCACACACGACCGTCAAGCCCGGCCCGCATGTGATGGACACATCCCTCAGCACGTTCTTCGTCGCCCCCGGCCACGAGAAGGTCGCATCGTTGAGCACGATCTCCAGCTCCCCCAGCAGAGCCAAACTCGCCCCCAACCCCCAGCCCGATCAGATCCACCTCCAGATCCTCCTCCTTCTCCGGCTCCAGCATAAACTCCTCAATCCGCCCCATCGCCACCCTCGAGTTCAAGAAAATCGTCACCAGATCCGGCAGCTCCCTCAAACTATTCTGCAGCATGCCAAACAAATCCAGCGCCGGAAACGCCACATCCACCGTCAACTCCTTCCCACTAACCACCGTATACGCCCAAAACCCCGCCACAGGAAACAAATACGCCGTCGTCATATTCACCATAGCAATGCCCTTCCCCACCACATTACTCTGCACCCTCTTCCTCAGCTCCGCCCGTCGGACTCCTCCATAATGGTATCCAACCAACGCATTCCTGCCAAGCAATACCACCGCAAGTGGCGGGATGGCCTCGGACGAACTGGGAGGTGGCGCTGGAGCTTGGCGTCGGTGACCTCGCGGCGGACGCGCTTCGATGGCAAGGAGTAGACGCATGAGGAGCACGTTGAGCGCCATGCCCGCGAGCAGGATCAGGATGCCGAAGAGGGAGGCTGGGCCGAGAATGCGCCAGAGCAGGAAGAGGGAGAGCAGGAAGTTGAGCGGTTTGGTGGTTAGGTTGGGCGCCTCCCAGAAGCGTTGGGCCACTTCGTAGGAGTCGTTGCGGAGGAGGTTGAGGACCTTGCCTGTGGAGGCCGGGGTGAAGGGGGTGTCGGGGGTGGTGGTGGTGGTGGTTGTTGCTGGGGGTGGGATGGGTCTGGGGTTGAGGCTGGCGTAGCCGCGGTGGACGAGGGAGCGAAGCTTTTGGAATTTGGTGGGCTCTGAGCTGGTGGAATCCGCGTCGGCGTCGGTGGAATCGTGGTTGCTGGACTCATCGTCGGTGAGGGTGGTCGAGGTGGAGATGCCCGGCGTAGAAGAGGAGGAGGAATCCTCTTGTTGGTCTTCTGGCTGCTCCGCGGGAAGGTCATGGCCGCTCGGGATGGTGAAAGCCTTCCTTCTGAGCGTCTTGTCGTGGATCATAGTGATCAGCTCGCCTCGGGACCGCTCGTAGTTGCGGCGGCAGTACCACAGTGAGAAGACACCCGACTGGGTTTTGACAAGCCTCGCGAATAGGGTGATCCCGGCGTACACGATGGCGGCCCGGACATCCGGCTCCTGGGCGGTTAACGCACCCAGAAGTTGCTTGAGCAAGACGGGGTCCGCCAACTCGAGGGATGTTTCAAGAACCCCGAGGAACGTGGTGATGAGGAGATCGACGCCGTTGGCCTTCAGCAGTCTGACAAATACGGTGCCAGAAAGCTCGCGGAACAGGACATGTACTCTGCTGTGGTGGAACTCATACGGGAGAAACCAGACGTCTTCATCTTACGAGCTGCCGCTTATAGCCGATTTTGATGAGGGGTCCCATCAAAGAGACCGTCATCCATTGCCAGAGAGTTATGATATCCTCGGGACTGCGGAGCTTGGCGGTTGGTTCGTCGGACGGCTTCCCGATGCCCGTGCTGTCCAATAAGGGGTCCCTCATGGGCATGCTGAGCATCAGGATGATGGATGCAAGGGGCAGGGCAACTCCAGCTACCCAGGAAATGATGCGAGGCCAGCCGCCAGAGAGCGCATCAGGCATCAGAGCCAGTATGCTCGCTACCACAAAGAGCAGGACGCTGTTAATGACGAACACAGCCCCCGGGACAACCCGAGGGCGCTCAACCGAGAGAGAATAAGACCTGAAATGATCTTCAACCGACCGATCAGCACGTATCCCAGGATATTCTCTGGATGGCAAAGCGAGTAGACAGGTGGCTTACACAAGGGATAATAGGCGTCATGCACAACTGAGCGTGCTCTGGCCAGACCAAAGCACCAAAGGCTCCCAAAGCGGCAGCGCCCACATTCAGGAACAAAAGAGACAGCGTCCAAGCCGTCCAGGACTTCCGGCCGGCCGACCCCGCGCCGGACTCCTGGTCGGACACATTAGACGAGAGCTCATCCTGCTCAGCGGCGAACCTGCGCAGCCAGACGGGCCGGTAGGCAGACCAGGCCGGACCGAGGCCGTAGCGGAGGGTTACTGCCAAGATGGCGACCCAGAACGGGATGTGTGCGACGACACCGAGGCATTGGGGGCTGAACTGTCCGGATGAGGGTATCTACGATATGCGTGTCAGCAATTGCGTGCTGAGGTGAGAAGAGGAGGGGTTGCAAAAACGGATCTGGTGTCACCCGAACCTACCCAGATCTTCCGGCAGCAGCTATAACAGGGCCACAAACTGTCCCACCACCCGCCGGAACCCAGCAAAGCGGCAGCCATGGAATGGGGGGCACAACAATGTTCTTCGAGACCAACAAGGCCAGGGGGGGGAGGCCAATTAGCAATGGGGAAGGTGTTGGTTGGACACTGAGAAAGGAACAAGCGTCTATCCAAAGAACATGGCAAGGGCAACAGGGGGGTCGTGTTATAAGAAGGTAATATGGGCATGGGACGACTAGGACCGGAAAGGGGACCAGGACCCGGGGATCAGAAGATAGGCTTGACGGGGGCTTTCTTTACTTGGCCGCCCTTCACCGACAGTTTAGGACCCAGAAAGAGGCCATACACAGAAGGGAATCGCGGATACTGTGTAACTCAGGCAAATCAGGGTAGGACTGCCGGATGCAGGTCGATCGAGTTGTGGGTTGCCCGCGCGGGGTTGATTCGGACACCGGCAGAGCTTGCGTGGTTCTAAGTGGCGTGTTTGTGGTCGACGACCCGATGGTTGGCGAGATGCTGAGATGCAGAGAATGCAGTGATGCGGGTGTCTCGGGAGATATACCCGGAGACTGACTCGAACCTGTTAGGGATGCAGAACAGACGAAGATGGAGCCAACGGGGGCCTGCCGGGGGGGAGGGCGAGATCCACTCAACGTTACTTACTCTGCCCCGACGCCGCAGAGGTGGATGCTGCCCTTGCTTCATTGTGGGCCGGGCCGTCTGAGATGCAATGGGCACCTTATTTTTAGGTGGTGTGTGGTGCCCGCCTTGCCGGCCTTTGAAGGGGTTGTTGGCTGCGTCCATTGCAAACTGTCCGGATCGTAGTGGTGTTCTTCCTTTCGGCAATGCTCCCACCCATGTCAAGCATCTCGCTTGCTGGTTGCCACCCATGCACATGCTACTTATCATCCATGCTGCCTGTAGGTGTTCGGGGTGGGGATGCTTCCGTACATACAGATTACTTCGTACATACAACCCAATACAGATTGCGCGCCTAAGGGATGCAGATCGCAGATGCTCTTCTTCCATGTAGGGTCGGATGGCTCTTCAGATGGCATGCTGCAGCTTTGCAATTGAGCAAAAAGACCCTTGTCCCATGGCGCCCGCATATGCCGGTGAATAGTGACGGTCAAATCAGGGTATTCAATTCCAAAACTCCCAGATGCTTTCTCCACGCACCCATTCGCTACCGCCAGTCAAGTCCGACCAAAAAAAAAGCGCCGTCCAGCCACTGTCCTTGTGACCAAAAACCTAAACCCCACGCTGCACGAAAAAGAAGCCGATGCTGCCAGGATGCCGCGGTGGGGTTCGGTTGACCGCCCCCTCCGTCTCAACCTCATGCCGGCTGCCCAACCACCCTGATGTACATGCTAGAACAGACAAGTCCCCATATCGCCACCTCCACGATTAGCCTTCCTTGATTTAACCCCATATTCATCTCAAAGGTCCCGGTATCGCATCCGCCTCACCGCCGCTTTCTGCTGGCATCCTGGCCGCTGCAATGGCCGCTAGTTATGGCTGTGGTTGGTTCCACCCCTGCCTCGGGTACTGTTGCCCGGAATGGTAGGGCTGGGTGAACTGGCTATTCGCTAGCGGTGGTGTCGTCACCACGGGTGTACCCCCCATCTCCGCCGGCGCCTCTGTCGACCCCGGTCGGAACTGATGAGAGCCGTCGAGTTCTTGGATCGGCAGCGGGGGTGACGGCGCCAGCGCCGCATTGGGGAATGCCAGATGCGAAGGCGACTCCCAGTTGAAACCGCTGGTGTGTCCACTGATCCTGGGGTCACTCATCCTGGGGTCGGGAGAACCGCCCCAGTCCTTTTTCGGCCAAGCCCCCGTGTCTGGAGGGCTGCCGTAGTATGCAGTCGAATCTAGCCCCGACGGCGTCCATCGAAGCGTGTCCATGCTGTGGCAGCATTGG